AAGAATCTTGTTTTTTTATCTGGCACTGGGTTCGAACATTAAAAGCTTCAACATGTAGTTTAGAGCTTGATTTCAGGAAACTGAGAATAACATTTCGTGAACTAAAATCATTAGCATTGGTGGCACATGATGGCAAAAACTGATGAGAAAGGTTAGTCGTGGGGATGGGAAAATTATTAAGAGATGAGGGAGGTATTTGATCGTCAACACGATGATCTCGGGCGCTGTCACTTACCAGTTGCCCACACCGTGAAAGGATTTCGCTTTTTAAGGGACCTGAAAAAGAAGTTAAATTGGTGGTGGTTTTAGCGACCTGGGAGCGTGACTGCAGAGCCGAAGGGACAGCTGCTTCAAACCAGTCGTTCATGGCCTTTTTATGGAAAAATTTTGATGCATTAGCTCCGCAATTCAAAAGGTCTTACTGCCGGAAACGGAAATCCGTGGGATGAGGTGAGGTGTGATATTTTAGGGTTAACCTTTTCCTACTTCTTCCTTCCGTTGTAAGGAGACAGTATCGCTGCAGATGCTGGTTGTTCGAGAGAGACACCCTACTGCTGTCATATCTTTCTACGGGCAGCAGTTCGACTTTTCTGTCGGGCTTTAAGTTGCTGCTTTTAGTCTTCCCGTTCTTCAACCGACTTGCCTGACATAGTAGAACCTAAAGGGACGTGGGTTCCAGCCAATATAACTATTGAGTCATCAGAATAGACAAGCCTGACCACCACGTCAAAGTAGCAACTACATTCGGGCATGTATTTATGTATTTGTTTATCGGTGACCGTTTTAAATCTCATATATACATGTTCTTCTGCAATGGTCAACCAATGTTTACAGCTAATTTTTATGTAATAAGTGAAATTAGTGGTTGGAGATGTTGATTCTTAAAAAACCTTTCTCGGTGACACATACATTTACTCGTTATCTTTCTCTAGATCTCGAGTCTCAGTATCCTTTCAGCCACTTCTTTTGATTCCTTCTTTTCAAACCCTATTCGCGATATTAAGTCTGTGTCGCTACCATTGCTACTACTACTACTACTACTACTACTACTACTACTACTACTACTACTACTACTACTACTACTACTACTACTACTACTACAACTACTACTACTACTACTACTACTACTACTACTACTACTACTACTACTACTACTACTACTACTACTACTACTACTACTACTACTACTACTACTACTACTACTACTACTACTACTACTACTACTACTACTACTACTACTACTACTACTACTACTACTACTACTACTACTACTACTACTACTACTACTACTACTACTACTACTACTACTACTACTACTACTACTACTACTACTACTACTACTACTACTACTACTACTACTACTACTACTACTACTACTACTACTACTACTACTACTACTACTACTACTACTACTACTACTACTACTACTACTACTACTACTACTACTACTACTACTACTACTACTACTACTACTACTACTACTACTACTACTACTACTACTACTACTACTACTACTACTACTACTACTACTACTACTACTACTACTACTACTACTACTACTACTACTACTACTACTACTACTACTACTACTACTACTACTACTACTACTACTACTACTACTACTACTACTACTACTACTACTACTACTACTACTACTACTACTACTACTACTACTACTACTACTACTACTACTACTACTACTACTACTACTACTACTACTACTACTACTACTACTACTACTACTACTACTACTACTACTACTACTACTACTACTACTACTACTACTACTACTACTACTACTACTACTACTACTACTACTACTACTACTACTACTACTACTACTACTACTACTACTACTACTACTACTACTACTACTACTACTACTACTACTACTACTACTACTACTACTACTACTACTACTACTACTACTACTACTACTACTACTACTACTACTACTACTACTACTACTACTACTACTACTACTACTACTACTACTACTACTACTACTACTACTACTACTACTACTACTACTACTACTACTACTACTACTACTACTACTACTACTACTACTACTACTACTACTACTACTACTACTACTACTACTACTACTACTACTACTACTACTACTACTACTACTACTACTACTACTACTACTACTACTACTACTACTACTACTACTACTACTACTACTACTACTACTACTACTACTACTACTACTACTACTACTACTACTACTACTACTACTACTACTACTACTACTACTACTACTACTACTACTACTACTACTACTACTACTACTACTACTACTACTACTACTACTACTACTACTACTACTACTACTACTACTACTACTACTACTACTACTACTACTACTACTACTACTACTACTACTACTACTACTACTACTACTACTACTACTACTACTACTACTACTACTACTACTACTACTACTACTACTACTACTACTACTACTACTACTACTACTACTACTACTACTACTACTACTACTACTACTACTACTACTACTACTACTACTACTACTACTACTACTACTACTACTACTACTACTACTACTACTACTACTACTACTACTACTACTACTACTACTACTACTACTACTACTACTACTACTACTACTACTACTACTACTACTACTACTACTACTACTACTACTACTACTACTACTACTACTACTACTACTACTACTACTACTACTACTACTACTACTACTACTACTACTACTACTACTACTACTACTACTACTACTACTACTACTACTACTACTACTACTACTACTACTACTACTACTACTACTACTACTACTACTACTACTACTACTACTACTACTACTACTACTACTACTACTACTACTACTACTACTACTACTACTACTACTACTACTACTACTACTACTACTACTACTACTACTACTACTACTACTACTACTACTACTACTACTACTACTACTACTACTACTACTACTACTACTACTACTACTACTACTACTACTACTACTACTACTACTACTACTACTACTACTACTACTACTACTACTACTACTACTACTACTACTACTACTACTACTACTACTACTACTACTACTACTACTACTACTACTACTACTACTACTACTACTACTACTACTACTACTACTACTACTACTACTACTACTACTACTACTACTACTACTACTACTACTACTACTACTACTACTACTACTACTACTACTACTACTACTACTACTACTACTACTACTACTACTACTACTACTACTACTACTACTACTACTACTACTACTACTACTACTACTACTACTACTACTACTACTACTACTACTACTACTACTACTACTACTACTACTACTACTACTACTACTACTACTACTACTACTACTACTACTACTACTACTACTACTACTACTACTACTACTACTACTACTACTACTACTACTACTACTACTACTACTACTACTACTACTACTACTACTACTACTACTACTACTACTACTACTACTACTACTACTACTACTACTACTACTACTACTACTACTACTACTACTACTACTACTACTACTACTACTACTACTACTACTACTACTACTACTACTACTACTACTACTACTACTACTACTACTACTACTACTACTACTACTACTACTACTACTACTACTACTACTACTACTACTACTACTACTACTACTACTACTACTACTACTACTACTACTACTACTACTACTACTACTACTACTACTACTACTACTACTACTACTACTACTACTACTACTACTACTACTACTACTACTACTACTACTACTACTACTACTACTACTACTACTACTACTACTACTACTACTACTACTACTACTACTACTACTACTACTACTACTACTACTACTACTACTACTACTACTACTACTACTACTACTACTACTACTACTACTACTACTACTTACTACTACTACTACTACTACTACTACTACTACTACTACTACTACTACTACTACTACTACTACTACTACTACTACTACTACTACTACTACTACTACTACTACTACTATACTACTACTACTACTACTACTACTACTACTACTACTACTACTACTACTACTACTACTACTACTACTACTACTACTACTACTACTACTACTACTACTACTACTACTACTACTACTACTACTACTACTACTACTACTACTACTACTACTACTACTACTACTACTACTACTACTACTACTACTACTACTACTACTACTACTACTACTACTACTACTACTACTACTACTACTACTACTACTACTACTACTACTACTACTACTACTACTACTACTACTACTACTACTACTACTACTACTACTACTACTACTACTACTACTACTACTACTACTACTACTACTACTACTACTACTACTACTACTACTACTACTACTACTACTACTACTACTACTACTACTACTACTACTACTACTACTACTACTACTACTACTACTACTACTACTACTACTACTACTACTACTACTACTACTACTACTACTACTACTACTACTACTACTGTGGTGTGCACTTCTTTGCTGACAGATATAAATGGAATGTCTACCAGCACAAGATTTAATTGGAAGAATCGTCAAGTATGTAAAGGACTACTGAAAGATGTGCAAATAATGTGCTTAATGTGTGGTTTTCATATTTTACGAAGGCACTGTGTGACTTTGCATAGAGCAATAAATTGGTCTCCCCTACCAAGTCTTCTTTCACTACACTACTATTATTTTGAATTCGCTACTTAACTTCTTAATTTCATCTCATTGTCATGAATCGATATGGTTATTTGGGCTAACTCATATTTGTACTAGGCTTTATGTTGATTATAACCGAATGAGCGATATTTATCAGCCTAGCTAATATTACTCTCAACATTCCTGGCATTGATAAACCAAGATTTATTGTTAACATTTTGATTTGACTTTTTTCACCTACCATTATATTCTTGCGTTACCACTACAGGACCATTAGGGATAAAGTTTATTTGCGATCGATTAATGCATTCTGTTGGTGATCGTGTTGATGAAATCAACAAACTAGTTCGTCAAAATCGTGGTACTCTTGAATGTTTACGAGAGTGTATAAATGATCCAGTGAGAACTCGTCAACTTAATGGGAATTTACAAAATTGTGATCAACTTTTAATCCTGTTAAAGGAGATTGGTGTAGCACTTGCTTTCCGTAAATTATGCTTTGAAGCTGTTCATTCTATACTACAGGTAAGCGTATGTGAGTGTTTGTCAATATCATTACTAGTCTGTATTCATCAAAACATGATTTACATATTTTATAGATTTAAGTACTACGTAATTGATGTTTTATACAGCTTAGTTTTACTGTAGGGCACTCCTAGCTTCCACCTCAAAAATATGAGATAGGGAAAATCCCTTAACCTCTTCGTTTTTTTTTATTTATTTAAACACATAAACATTGGTACAAGAAGGCACCAAATAGATATGCACCACATAAATCATCCGACTTGTGTGACGGCTGGGATACTGACTGGGTGCCCAAACCGAAGCAGGTGGTTTTCTTAGGATGCCACTCCCTGAGCGTTTGACCTAAAGGTCCGATTTAAAAATATTAACAACTTCATGTATATCATAGCCCCTATGTCAAGTAACAATATCTTACATATAGAGAACTGTTTCGTTTTATGACTGGTTAATTGATTTCCAGATAATAATTAGAACTCCAAAATTAAACAGTTCATAAATTATCATTCTCTAACTAATTAGTTAAGTATACATTCCCGATCAAAGCGTAGGATGATTGATTGGCTAGTGACTTAAATCTTCATTTCTGACTCATTATTTAACATATAACTACTCTGTATTGGTGGCCTAATTGTTAAAATGTTCGTAGATTTGAATCCCATTCCATCTGTTCCGATTTGGACACTTGTATAGTAGCACTATCTAGTATATGTGTAACATTCTCGACTTCACAAACCCTCACTTAGTAAATGAGTTACATAATAAGCTGTTAATTATCTTTTATTTAATGTGTGTTATTTCCAGAAACGTACTCCATTTCTTCTGGACACTGTTCACAACCTTCGTGATTATATAACACAAAAATCAAGTAATAGTGCTCAATTAACTGGATCATCTATAGAAAATAATAATGGAAAATATGAAATGGAACGTATATATGCACATTTTAATGAACAATTAATGTTAAATAATCTATGCGCTTCTGTTGGTATATCCTCTCATTTAGATTATAATTTATGCTCAATATTAAATAATCGACGTATAGCTATATTGGCTACAGCAAATCAAGCTGGATTAAATTTATCTATAAATGGTACTGGTAATGCATCATATCAAGAATTAGAATATCATATTGCTTGTTTATTTGTTGTATTTGTTGCAAATGCTTTTCCACGATTAGCACGTCAAGATTCTAGTTTATATCGTTTAGATTTAGAAGCGAATGAAAATAATTGTCATTGTATTGCATATGCAGTAAATACTTTAATGGTATGTTATCAATTATATTTTATGTAGTTTGTTTTTAATTATATCTTAAAACTGTTATGACTTTAAAGTTGCGGTCGATTTTTTTACCCTGTGCTAATTGTTGTATCTTTGACTGGAAAAATTAGAGAGCAGCATATTTATCGATCGATTACAATGACACGGAAAACACGTACGGACGGCCTAGAGTCTCGATTGGTCTCGTTTCCCTGTCTAGCACAGTTAGTTGAGTCCAGAACACAAGTCCCAACCTCTGAGATATGAATCATTATATTTCAAACATACTTAGTTTATATACCAATCAAGCATACCACATCGTACCATAAAAATAGAAAACAACATTTTGTACAATATTCAACAGGTGAACAGATATCGACCAATAGGAGATGTCCATTTAAAGTCCAAGGATACCATTGGACTTAACATGATAATTATTGGTCTATTCCTCCGCATCCACAACAAAAACAATTATTCAGTTGTTGTTCTGCAGAACTATTAGGTATTGAAAGAGCCAACCCATAGGAAATCATGAAACTAGGTTTTCTGATAATTGACAATTACCAGCGTCGCATATTTCCCGTCTTCATGTAAATAATACTTCCTATAAGATTTGAATCCATATCAGCTATTGTTAAAGTTAGAGGTGTTTCCATTGAACTATTTGGGCATCAATCAAAGTTTAAGAGGACTGAGATATTTACAGTAATTAGTTACTACTCGGTGTTCTTCAGAAAGATATACTTCAAATATAAGTCATATCAAGTTGATGATCAATGATTTCTAGTGTCAAAATTATGGCACTCTATAACGTTGTACACACTTGACTTGTTTTTTAACAATATCATAAGCAATGCGTAATCTTTAAAATCATGGGTCCGAAATTCGTTAATGTGATTTGACTGTAATTCTTTTACCTGACTGTCAATTATGTTCTGTCATTCATTCGACTTTCAACCGGCAGGTTAAAATATGAAATCCTTTTTCATCATCTTTAAACAGTTTAGCGTAAAATCGAGTGCATAAGACTTCGATTTCGTAAATAAGTTACAATGTTCTCTCCTTCCTTATAGTTTACAGCTGTTTACTATCCTGTAGATATCATTTTAATGCCACCTCTTACTTTAGATAATTTACCGTGCGATCTGAATAAATATCTATTGTACCCATGTGAAGTTAGTCCCTGTATAATGTTCTCTCTTCTATCTTAACTAGTCTTATAATTCAACTACATTTGTCTCCAATTCATTTCATAATGAAGACCTGTACGATTTACTTGCTAGTTTGTTTCTATGGAATCATTTTAGCACTGATTATTCAAAAACTTAGTAAATATTTAGAAACAGTCACTTTTGCTAAATTTCTGGCTCATAATGAATGTTAGTCAGTCAGTAACAACGTAGAACTTCGTACGTACGTATATCAGTTCGAGTTGCCATACCACATTAGCACAGAGATGCAGTTGTCGACTCAAATCTCTTAGTGCTAGTGGTAGTAAAAGTATAAACAGTAATCGAAAAGTGTTGCAAACTATGAGTATAGATAGGAATAAAAATTGTCATAAAAATCATATTACTCCATTAACTAGCCAATTTTATGTCCTTATATGTAATCTTTCTTTTATATATTACCATCTTTGAATTAACTACTTATATGAATTCGGTGTCAGTCAGTCAGTTACATCGTAGGACCAGGCACATTTATGCATCGGTCCGAGTTGCCATACCTCATTAACACAACAAGATGGACACCGGATTCATAAAAGTAGCTGATTCAGAGGTGGTAATATATAAAAGAAGGATTGCAATAAGGATATAATACAGGAAGAAAGAATTAGTTCGTAGAAAGAAAGAATTCGGTGTTCATCTTGCTGTGCTAATGAGGTATGGCAACTTGGACTGCTGCATATATGTGCCTGGTCCTTCGTTGTAACTGACTGACTGATTTCATAAATGTATGATTCTGTACACAAAATTATAGCATTTACCTATTCACTTGATTTAGATTTAATGCTTAGTTACAATAATATGCCAATCAACATGAATGAATTATCTCAGTTAAAAAGATTTTATTTAAGTCTGAGACTTTTCTCGTTCATTTATCAAGTTAATGAATAAATAGATCAAGCTAATGTAAAACATACACAAGCATCTTGTTAAGTGGGATTTCTTAGTAAACTACATATGTAAGCAATTAGAGGCGAAGATAAATATAGAAGTATACTTCTTTTAAAGATAGTTACTTATATCCATTATTTGCTTACTTACTTACGCCTGTCACTCCTCGTGAAGAAGCATAGGCCACCCACCAGCATTCTCCATCCAACCCTGTCATCGGCAATCCTTTCCAGTGGTAATACATCCTTTTCATGTCTGCTTCCCATTCTCAACCCAGTGTGTTCTTCGGCCCTCCTCTTTTCCATTTCCCTTCAGAGTTCCAGGTTAGGGCTTGCCTTGTGATGCAGTTTGGTGTTTTCCGTGATGTATATCCCATCCACTTCCAACGTCTTTTCCTAATTTTCTTCTCAGCTGGTTTGTTCCCTCGCATAATAGGCTGTTAGTGATGGTATCCGACCAACGGATGTTGAGTATCTTGCCTAGACAGCTATTTATGAATACTTGTACGTTCTTGATGGTGGTTGTAGTAGTTTTTCATATGAGATAGATTAATGAAGGTTATTCAACTTTCAAAGATAGTCTACATTTACAACCGATTTTAGCTAGATGACAATTGAAAATTAAAGAGCACTAAATAAATAATCGTTTTTTCCTAGGTTGTAACTCTTCAGCAGTTCACATCATGGTTAGAATCCCAGGACTTTCATATCTTGAAGGAAGTATATTGCCTTTAGACTAGCGAGTTTCAATATATTTTTCAGCCACTATCTAGTAGCATCGGTAATATTTGTTTCATTTTCCATCATGTCTCACTAGAACTTTAATAATTCTTGATAGCAGTACAATTTATTTGTATGTATTCCCTGAAGATAAGTAAACATTATTTGGTAGTGAAATATAAATAAGTCCAATAATTATTTCTAAATTGTATTATCCCATCAGTGCTTGAAGTCACTGACTTCTAGTCTGAGCCATGTTAGGAGATGTAGACTACTTGGTTAGGGTCCGCGTGACTATCGTAACCAATGGTTAGAGACTCTTGGTGACATGGCTCAGAATCGATCACAATGGCATCGGTGTATACACTCTCTATCTTCCCTTAAACTAAGAGATTAAAATTGCTTCATATCTTTCTTTCTACTAACTAATTTTTTCTTCCTGTACTATATTCTTATATGCAATCTTTCTTTTATATATTACTACCATTGAAGTGACTACTTTTATGAATCCGGTGTCCATCTTGTTGTGCTAATAAGGTAATGGCAACTTGGACCGATGCATATATGTTCCTGGTCCTACGTTGTAGCTGACTGACTGACAAAACATTTATAGTTTTAGTGCTCATTAAAGCTGTATGTTTAACCAGGGATTTTTTTATACTGACCATGTTTTTTTTTTAATTGTTCTCCTCAAAAACACTTATTTGATACTGACTTCATTCAATGTGTTGTCTATTTATTTTTCAGGTTTCTATGTTTTCTCTACTTCGACCAGGTGATTTAGAGGCTCGCTCTAAAGAATTTCTTGCTCTTGCTTCATCAAATCTTTTAAGACTTGGATTAGAAACATCATCATCTCTTATATCTTCAGAAATTTATGGTAATAACAATATTCAAACATCCTCCTCTAATCATTCTCTATCGGCTAAACATAGAGATTCAATTTATATTGTATTTGATAATCTTATTAAACAATCACCTTGTTTATCGGCTAATTTACAAGAATCTTGTTTTCCATATTCATTAATACGTAGTGCTTATCATAGTATTGCAAAATTAACAACAAATAATAATGAAAATTTCAGTACTACACGTTCAAATATCATGTCATCATCATCATCAACAACATATGTGGATGGAAAATGTCGTGACTAAAATGGTAACACTATTACAGTTCATTGATGAAAGTTTCCAAGAACATAGTAATTCTGTTGCTTGTTTGTTTACTTATCTCTTCTTTTTTTTATAACAAATTTAGTCATTCATGATCTCCATGTGTTTACGGTAACGGGAAAGGTGTAGCACTGGTGGCAGTAGTAGTACAAGTAGTAGTACATCATATATGCTTTTCTTGTTTTATTTTATTTGCATTTTTGTATTTTTTTTGTTTTGTTTTTGTTCTTTCTTCTTCTTCTTTCTTTTTTGATGGTTAAAATGAATCCATGATTTTGCTTTAAATTGTTTATATAAAATAAAATGACAAATGTGGTTATTTCAAAAATGATATTTGTTAAATGATAGTCAATATATGTATGTATAGCTCACTTATTATTACCATTATTATTATTATATTCTTCATTATTAATAGTCTATAGTTAAAATAATGAAAAAATGTGAAGTTCAAACAGCTAAGAATACAATGTTTTCTTCCAAAATCTATATATATATGTGTTGCTTTAAAATATCTGAGGTTTGTGTATATTCCTTCTATAAGTCAATAGAAAATCTTTAGCTTGACTGTATAATGTTTATATTCTAATGGGTTTGTGTCTGACGAAATCACAGCACGGATTCGAAAAGCTCGTTTGACTTTTGCCAACTTACGTCACCTATGGAGAAGGCGAGATATCCGTCTATCAATTAAGGGACGCGAGTATACTGCGAAGGAGTTCCTTCTGTTTTACTTTATGGCTGCGAAACGTGGTCATTAAGAGTAGAAGATACTTGTAGGTTACTAGTATTTGACCACAGATGCCTTAGAAATGTTGGTCGCATCTGCTGCGATCACCGGGTAGGTTATAGTGAGGTTAGATGCACAGCATTATGGAATGATGGTAAATCAGTTGATGAGCTTGTGAATCTTCATCGACTGAGATGGTTGGGCCACGTGTTACGTATGCCTGAATACCGATTACCACGAAGTGCAATGCTATCCGGTATTGGAGATGGTTGGACGAAAGTTAGGGGTGGCCAAACCAAAACGTGGCATCCGTACTTGAAGTCACTAACTTCTGGTCTGTGTCATGTTAGTAGATGCAGACAACTTGGTGGGAGATAATTCCGTAGTAGTTTATGGAATGAATCTCAGTCTAGGTGACTCTGGGTAAATAATGGTTTGTTACTGACTTAGCAGGTTTACGCCATTTTTGTAGGCACGATCAGTAATTTGTTATATGAAGAGACAATCAGAAGTGGTCTGTTGAAATGATCAGAAGTCACCTAAAGCTCGAGTGCATTTCATTGGGTCAGTTTCCTAGCGATAGAGTGGTATATATATGAATGAGTATTTGTGCATTTCGGTAGCTCACGTAGTTAGTTAGGGGGTTAATGCGAGGCATGCCGTGTATCAGCATCAGATTTTTGACACTACCCGTCACAACAGATTCTGGCGACATTATTTCCCTCAAACGCATGCGATAAAAAATTCCAGAATGTCAATGTCAGTAGATCAGCTTAAAATTATTTTACAGCAAACGAAATTTCAAGCACCACAATTGAAAATGACTAAAATGATAGGACAAAAGTCAATTCAAGAAAATTCGGTACAGATTTCCGAATTAACAGGCTCAACTACCGAATCACAGATCAACTCAGTGAGTGAGTTTCACTTTGATCCTCATGCTGATGTTACACTTGGATTATGGACCAAAATGTATGACAACGTATGCCAAAAAGTATCAGTTGTGTTCATATATCGTCAAAGTCTCACAACTAATGCTTACTCGGACTTCACCTATAGCTTTTCTATAGTTACTGCTGGCTCCAAACCCGGGTAAAGTAGTAGGGTTGGTTGTGAGGTCGGCAACCCCATTCCATAGAAAACAGCCTTGCTTAAAAAATCCCAATAAGTTTAAACAAATCAAACCATTTAAATTCTGCCCTCTGAGTTAAGGAGGAATTATGGCGCATCACGATGAAATCCTAGATTCTTCAGAAGTGATGAAACTGATGCCCCTTTTAACAATTAGAACAACAATTAATATAGGTACATGGAATGTTCGCACAGTGCAGGTGACCGGAAGGACCAGTGAAATAGCTGCGGAGATACAACTTGATGGTTCTCGGAATCGGCGAAAACCATTGGACCCAAGCTGGACAGAAGAAGTTGAATTCGAGAGAGATGATATTGTACTCTGGTCACGGGGAAGAAAATGCTCCACACGCTCGGGGAGTTGCTCCGATGCTGTTCAAAGAAGCGCTTGATGAGGTATCCCTCTTTCCAGTCTGTCTGTGGAACTTTTTTTCGACTGTTGTTAATCGCTGTCTACTTGTTGTTCCTTTCTTGAATCTTGTTCAGGGTCTCGATAGATCCATTCCTAGTTATGATGCTTCTTGACGTCCGCAACTTCCTGTCACTTTGGAGTTAGTGCTTCTTTCATCCCTTTCCAGATGTCTTCTATAGTACTTTCTTCTTTCAGTAGGTCCTGTAAGGCTTGGAACCTGTTTTTGAGAGTTAACTTGAATTCAATGATCATGCTAGTATCCCATAGGAACGCTGTATTGATCTTTCGTAATGCTCTTTGTCCAGTTGTTCAATGACTCTTTAGCTTCAGTTTCATCTTGGCCACAACCAGGTGGTGATATGTAGCTATGTAAGCTCCTCTCCTGGTTCTCACATTTTTCATCGGCCTTCTGAATTTTTTATTGGTACAAAAATGATCTATCTGGTTCCCCATGTTGTGATCTGATGAGACCCATGTGGATATGTGTATACGTTTTGTGTGGGAATATTGTGCACACAAATATGCGGATCTCTCACCATTCATGTTTTTTCTCTGTCAGTTCATGACATCCCATAACATAGTCATACCCGATGTGGTCTACTCCGACTTTGACTTTTAGATCTCCCATCAGGATGGTCAGATCCTTTCCTGAGCCCTTTGTTATGATCGATTGAAGCTTCTCACGGAAATGATCTATATCGGTGTCCTTGCCATCACTAGTGGGTGCATAACATTGGATAAGATTACCTATGTTTCTTTTCTTCTTTGTTTTGGAGGATGCTTTGATGATCCTGGATCCATGAGATTCCTACCCTATAAACGTATTACGTGCTTCTTTGGACAGCATCGGAGCAACTCCCCGAGCGTGTGGAGCATTTTCTTCCCCGTGACCAGAGTACAATATCATCTCTCTCGAATTCAACTTCTTCTGTCCAGCTTGGGTCCAATGGTTTTCGCCGATTCCGAGAACCATCAAGTTGTATCTCCGCAGCTATTTCACTGGTCCTTCCGGTCACCTGCACTGTGCGAACATTCCATGTACCTATATTAATTGTTGTTCTAATTGTTAAAAGGGGCATCAGTTTCATCACTTCTGAAGAATCTAGGATTTCATCGTGATGCGCCATAATTCCTCCTTAACTCAGAGGGCAGAATTTAAATGGTTTGATTTGTTTAAACTTATTGGGATTTTTTAAGCAAGGCTGTTTTCTATGGAATGGGGTTGCCGACCTCACAACCAACCCTACTACTTTACCCGGGTTTGGAGCCAGCAGTAACTCTAGAAAAGCTACAGGCGGAGTTCACAAGTATATGGCAAGACAGAATACTACTAAAAGTGTTAACTGAAACGATTATAAAAACGCACATTAATAGTCCATACTTATTCATGTAAATTATAAGCTTATTATTGGAATAAAAATGGCTCAGTGTCATGTTGCTAGAAAAACTAATATCAGTGCAAATAAATGAATTCACGTAAGCGCTCGTGCAGCCAACACGCTTTAAGGACATAATGCAGTAAATGCTGTGGAGAACAAAGAAAGTGTTTTCAAGTTGAGGATTGGAGAGGAAAGCATTATATTAATGTATGTTAGTCCTTCAAAATATAAACGATCTGCGTGGGGTCTATTAATTACTAACATCATTGCAAACACATGCAGTCGCCTTATCGAGCACTTAATAATTTAGTTCCATAACCAACTTTAGAATCAATATTCAAAGTTAAGTGTTATCTTATTGGCACATGCTTAGCGGATAACCCATTAGGATTTAAACATTACAGATAAAACAGTCATTTATTTTCTTATCTCATATAGGTACTGCGTCTCTTATTTTTGTTGAATGATGAAATGTTCGTTTAATTATATATAGTCTTCAGCCCGACTAATTCCTCGTTGTCGTGTAATTAAAGCGTGACACCTCTACTTCAAAGAATTTCGATTCCCTGTATAACGAGGGGTTCAATAATACGGCATAGTGGGCGCACTTTACACTCTTTCCAAGTAGTCTTTTCCAGGTTTAAGATAAATAATAATTTATTCTCGAATAACAGTATACTACGTGGGGCATCTAGTTTACAGGCAAGATCAAATTGTTACAGGAGATACACTTTTCACTATAGTAGGTTACTCAGTTAGATTGCTATTTCATAAGGTTCATTGGCCATAGAATTATGGAGGATAACACTACCCACGTATGAACGTAAATAAAATTAGTAACAGTCATGTTTTCAATATAACCGTTGGCGTGCTTAATGAAAGTTGCGTTGTGACGTGAAACTGATGGTCGAGAATAAATCCACGTAAAGCTGGGGGCTTTCAGAAACCGCAACCATACATCCCATAGGAACTTCTGAGGCATTAATGATGGCGCAGGACGAAATCACACATTTCATATGTGTTTTCGCGGGCTGAAAAGGAAAGTAAAAAAAGAAAGGGCGAGCAGCATAGCAGATAATGTTCATGCCTATTGAAGTTGAGTCATTTATGGAGGAGTATTTAAGGTATGGCTGGTTAGTCTAATTTTCTTTTATTATGGTACTTTTTAAACAAGAGTATTCAAATGGGTTAAAGAAAATAACCGTAAAGAAGGTGTAAGTGGATAAAGAACTGTATAATTGGAGGTGGTTCAGAAAGAAACTTAAAGGATAGGATTATGTGTAATTTTAAAATATAGTATTGCAGTACTACAGTATTCTGATACAAAAATGGCTATCTCCCTTTTTTGTCGAAGCTTTTTCAGCCCATTTTTACTTTTATAGATTTTATAGGGTCATGAGCAGGCTCTGTTTTTAGTTAATTGTCTAATTTTGCGTGCAGTAAGGTTACTCAGTAGGAAGTGAAACCATTTCAACCTTCTAAACGTGGTTTAAAGAAATATCTTGCATAATAAATCAGCATTAATACTATTGATTCGTGACATCCCTCTTGACCATAAGGAGCCGTAATTTAACAACATGTTCTGCCCTGCAGAAATGGGTGGATTTAAGTTATCGTCCCACCATCATGTTTGATTGTCGGCAAATCAACCCAGATCTCCCTATTTTTGCTAAATTTTGGGGTTTCCTCAAGGTTAAGTGGTAATTGCCTTTTGTCGCTCCAGATAGTTAGGTTATTGAGGTCACTTTGAATCTGGGATACACTTTCACTTGTAGCTACAAGCTTAAAGCTGTATACTATACTAAGTATGGTGCCGAAATTTTATGGTGTTGAGTATATCGTTTACATACATAAGAAACGTGAATAGACCTGATGCACCCCCCGGTTGACTCTAATAGTTGTTAGTCTAGGTGAT